TGAAGTCTGAGTGGAGAGGCTTTAGAATGGTTTACATCTCATGAAACAAGAAAATGGCCTAGCTGGAATACCCTAGCTAAGGACTTTATCGAACGATTCACCTACAATGTGGAGATCGTTCCTAATCATTATTCTTTAGAAAAAATGAAGAAGAAATCAAATGAAAGTTACAGAGAATTTGCATACAGATGGAGAAAAGAGACGGCTAGAGTTCGGCCTCCTATGTCTGAAAAGGAGATTGTCGAAGTATTTGTGCGGGTTCAAGAGCCCGAATATTATGATAGAATCATGTTTCTCATTTGAGCAAAGTTTACTGAGATAGTCAAAGTAGGTGAGACTATTGAAGATGGATTAAGAACCGAGAAGATTGCATGTGTTGCTGCTTCGCCCGGATCCTCGGGTTTGTTGAAGAAGAAAAGAGAAAATGTATCTTCTATCTCTTATGAGGGGAAAAAGACCCCAAAGAAATCCCCATCATACCAAAGTCATTCTCGACCTTCACAGAGTTCGTACCCGGCTTGTTATGCACATAATGATTACCAAAATACCCCTCCCCCCAGTTATCAAAATACCCCTTCCCCCAATTATCAAAATAATTCCCCTCCTATCTACCAAACTCCCCCTCCAGTTTACCAAACTCCATCTCATCACTACCGGAACGTTGCCCCCAACTGTGCTAACGTTCAGGAATTACCAAACACCTTCCCCAATGTACCAAACCCCAGCTCCACTTTACCAAACTAACCCCTCGAACTACGAAGCTCCACAACCAAATTAACAAACCAACTCATATCCAAGATATCAATCCCCCCGCCCAAACGCTCCAAACTATCATCAAATGCCTCCTTCTCAACAAGGCAATTACGATCCCCCGTCCTAGATTTGAGAAGAAGCCTGCTAGAATTTCTACTCCGCTCATTGAAAGCCGAACAAAGTTGTTCGAGTGATTAACTGCGGCAGGATATATTCATCCAGTGGGGCCCTAGCAGGTTGACACAAGCTCAAGGTTTTACAGACCGGATCAGAGGTGCACATATCACTCCAATGGTGTTGGACATGATACCGAGGAATGTATCAACCTAAAGCACAAAATCCAAGACCTGATTGACCAGAAAGTGGTCTCTCTCCAGACAGTTGCGCCCAATGTCAATAGTAATCCTTTGCCAAATCAGGGAGGTGTCACTATCAATATGATAGAGATGGATGATGATTGGTGCATGACAAAGGCAATAGTTATGATCTCTCCTGATGAACTGGAAAGGGTTGTAGCTTCATTGAGCATTAGAGAGAAGAAAGAGTTTGTGATTCTGCCACTCGAGAAGGTTGTTGCCTTAGTGCCAAGGAAACTCTTGCCCGACCGAAGTTTGTGATTGAAACGGCTGTTACCTATGACCTGATCCGGCAGGTGCTACACACCAGAAGAGCTAGTCCAGGGAGTACAAAAAAAGGATCAGTCTAAAAGGCTAATTAGTGAATCCGGAGAGGAAGAGTTTTGGAGAAAAATGCAGCCAAAATATTATTCAATTGTGAAGCATCAAGAAAAGACGCCGACTCAGATTTCTATGTGGAATTTATTGATAAGTTCGCAGTTGCATAGGCAGGCTCTGATGAAGGCTCTGGGTGACAGTTATGTGCCATGATAAACCAGGTCGTTTGAGGACACCAAATCAGTTTTTGTGACGAAGAGTTGCCCTTTGAAGGCAGGATGCACAACAAAGCTCTGCATGTCACCATCAAATGCCGGGACAAAATTATAAATCATGTTTTGGTCGACGATGGGTTCGGTCTTAACATCTGCCCACTTTCGACTCTCAGGATACTGAAATTTGACTTGGGAAAGGTTCAACAAAACCAGGTCAATGTGAGAGCTTTCGATGGAGTGCAGAGAGACACGATAGGGGCAGTAAACTTAGGAATTCAGATGGGTCCTGCAGAGTTTAATGTTGAGTTCCAGGTGTTGGATATCAACACCAGTTACAACCTGCTTCTAGGAAGACCGTTTATTCATATGGTCGGGGCTGTGTCGTCTACCCTTCACCAACTGATAATTTTTTTTGAAAGGACCATGAAATGGTCATTCATGGTGAGGGGAGTCATTCTGATAGGTATACACCGATCATTGATGAGGACTCCTGAGGTTGCGATTTCTACACGGTGGAGCTGGTAAATGCCATCGATGATGATTTGTCTCCGCAACCTCCTATGCCTGTTGTGTACAAGATGATTGCTATTGTCATGCTTTGAAATGGTTTCAAACCAGGTTTCAGATTAGGGAAGCACTTTTAAGGAATTGTCGAGCCTATTCAGATCCCCGCCAAAGGAGCAAAGTTTGGTTTGGGATATGTCCCAACAGATGACGAAGCCGAGATAAAGAACAAGAGCGTTGATCAAGCATTGGACAGGCCAATTCCTCATCTATACCAGTCATTCCCAGTGTGAGAATATGTCAACGATGGTGGTCTCAGGGAAGGAATCTGGGGACTTTTTTAGGTGATTGATGCGGTCATCGAGGAAGAGGCTGGGACATCGGGCATTCGTGATGCAGAACTTGAGAAACAATTGCAAAATTGGACCTTCACACCACTCCTGATTTCCCGTGCAACTTGGTAGAAAAGACTTGTGTTTATGTTTGTTTTTAAAATCAGTGGTAGTCCAAAAGAGGCCCGAGACCCACCTTTTATGCAGTTTTACTTGTTTGAAGTTTTTAAATTCCCTTGTGATGTTTAAAAAGGCGAAATGGCCCTTAGCCATGGCCAATGTTTGTGCTTGTTTTTCAATTTAAATGAAAACCTCTTTTATCAAAATTTGTTTACTTATCTGTTTACATTTTACTTTCCTAACTTTGTTTGTTTATGATTTCAGTAATATTAATTTAACACCTGCCAATGTCATTTCATGTCATTAACCGAGTGAACGAAATGAGGTAGGTGATGATGAATGCGAGGAATACGAGGAAGAAAATGAGGTACCCGAATATGTTGCTGAAGAGTTTCGACAATTCGAGAATCAACACAAGCCGAATTTAGAAAGATGGAAAAATTAGAATTTGTGTTGACTACAGAGATCTCAACAAAGCTAGCCCAAAAGATAATTTTCCATCGCCAAACATCCACATTCTCATTAATAACTGTGCTAAGCATGAGATGCAGTCATTTGTGAATTGTTATGAGGGTTACCACCAGATCTTGATGGATGAAGAAGATGCAGAAAAGATAGCTTTCATTACGCCATGGGGTGTATATCATTATCGGGTGATGCCTTTTGGTATCAAGAATGCCGGTGCTACTTATATGAGGTCTATGACAATCATCTTTAATAATATGATTAACAGGGAGATTAAGGTATATGTTGATGATGTAATAATCAAATCGCGCAAGAGTTCGGATCACTTGACTCACTTGACTCACTTGAGAAAGTTCTTTGATCGCCTGCGTCGATACAATTTGAAGTTAAATCCTGCCAAATGTGCTTTCGGAGTGCCAGCTGGCAAGCTGTTGGGATTTATAGTCAATAGGAGGGGAACTGAGCTTGACCCTTCCAAGATCAAGGAGATCCAGGAATTACCTCCTCTGAAGACCAAAAAAGAGGTGATGAGTTTTCTGGGAAGGTTGAACTACATCAGTCGATTTATAGCTCAGTCCATCGTGGTGTGTGAGCCAATCTTTAAGTTGTTGCAAAAAGATGCTTTGACCAAGTGGACCGGAGAGTGTCAAACTGCTTTTGATGCCATCAAGAACTATTTGTCTATTCCGCTGGTATTGGTTCCTCCATAGAAAGGAAGTTCACTGTTGTTGTATCTGTCTGTCTCGAATAACGCATTTGGATGCTTGCTTGGTCCACATGATGAAACTGGGAAGAAAGAGCGAGCCATTTATTACTTGAGCAAGAAATTCACTCCATATGAGGCCTGTTACACTCTTTTGGAGAGGACATGTTGCGCTTTGACCTGGATTGCTCAGAAGTTGAGACATTATTTTTCTTCTTATACCACATTTCTCATTTCCAGGATGGACCCGTTAAAGTATATTTTCCAGAAGGCAATGCCGACCGGGAAGTTGGCTAAATGGCAAATGCTTTTGAGTGAATTTGACATTGTGTATGTGACTCAGAAGGCGATAAAAGCACAAGCCTTAGCTGATCATCTTGCGGAGAGTCCAGTTGATGAAGAGTATGAACCACTCAAAACTTATTTTCCCGATGAAGAAGTTGCATTTGTGGGTGAAGATATTTCTGAAGCATACCCTGGTTGGAGAGTATTCTTTGATGGAGCGGCCAATCACCAAGGGAAAGGTATCGGAGCGGTCTTAGTGTCAGAAACCGGTCAGCATTATCCTATGATAGCTAAACTCCGATTTGATTGCACAAACAACATGGCTGAGCATGAAGCTTGCATCCTCGGTCTGAAGATGAAAATTAATATGAACGTTCATGAGCTGTTGGTTATTTGAGATTCGGTTTTGTTAATTCACCAAGTTCAAGGAGAATGGACCGTGAAGAACCTAAAGATCACATCGTACGTGCAGTATATATAGAGGTTGTGCAAAAGGTTCTGCAAGATTGAGTTCAGACACACAAGGACACATAATGAGTTGGCCGATGCTCTCGCCACAATTGCCTCGATGATTAAACATCCAGATACAAGTTATATTGATCCCTTGGATATAGAGGTAAAAGAGTAGCCTGCCCATTGTTCACATGTTGAAGCAGAACCAGATGGTTTGCCTTGGTATTTTGACATCAAGAAGTATTTAGAGACAGGGACTTATCCTGAGAATGCAATGTTCAACCAGAAGAAGTCGATACGCCGTATGACCCTCAATTTCTTCGCAAGCGGGGAAATCCTTTATAGGAGGACTCCAGATTTAGGTCTTCTCAGATGCGTTGATGCTAGTGAAGCTGCAAAGCTTCTGGAATAGATACAAGTCGGAGTTTGTGGTACTGACATAAATGAGCTCACTTTGGCGAGGAAAATCCTCTGAGCCGGTTATTTTTGGATGACTATGGAGCATGATTGCTGCAAGTTTATGCAGAAGTGCCATAAATGCCAAGTTCATGGTTATTTGATTCGAATGCCGCCTCACGAACTCAATGCTATGAGTTCACCTTGGCCGTTTGTAGCTTGGGGCATAGATGTCATTGGTCCAATAGAGCCAGACGCCTCTAACAGACATAGATTTATTTTGGTTGCCATTGACTACTTCACCAAGTGGGTGGAAGCAGCTTCATATAAGTCAGTGACCAAGAAGGTTGTAGCTGATTTTGTTTGCAACAATTTGATATGTAGGTTTGGAGTGCCAGAATCTATCATTACTGATAATGGAGTGAACCTCAACAGTCACTTGATGAGAGAGGTATGTGAACAGTTCAAGATTACTCACCGAAACTCAATCGCCTATCATCCCCAAATGAATGGAGTTATAGAAGCCGCCAACAAGAACATAAAGAAGATTTTGAGGAAAATGATTGATAATCGCAGAGGTTGGCATGAGATGTTGTCGTATGCTTTGTTGGGTTACCGAACAACTGTCAGAACATAAGTTGGAGCTACTCCATATTTGCTAGTATATGGAACAGAAGCAGTTATACCTGTAGAAGTTGAAATACCTTCTTTGAGAATCATCCAAGGAGCTGAATTGAGTGATGTTGAATGGGTTCACAAGCGGATTAATCAGTTAACATTGATTGATGAGAAGAGAATGGTTGTTGTTTGTCATGGACAACTGTATTGACAGAGAATGATTCATGCTTTCCACAAGAAAGTAAGAGCCGGGATATTTGAAATCAGTCAGTTGGTTCTCAAACGCATTTTTCCTCATCAGGATGAGTACAAAGGGAAATTTGTACCAAATTGGCAAGGACCCTACATGGCTCGCAAAGTATTATCTGGAGGCGCCTTGTTCCTATCGGAGATAGATGGCATCGAATGGCCGAAACCGATCAATTCAGATGCTGTCAAGAGATATTATGTGTGAAGCTTCAGTTTGTATTTCTATCATTCCCTTGTAATCGTTCTATTTGCTTGTAATCACTTTGTTTAGAATTTTATCCCTCTGTAATGAACTACGTCTGACCTGAATTCTCAAGAATGAGATACGTAGGTGACCTATGTCAGCCTCGGTCACCCCTTTATCCATTTTAATATTTCTCTGTATCTGAACTGCATTCGACCTGAATTCTCAAGAATGAGATTACGTAGGCAGCTTATGTCGGCGTCGGTCGGTTTCTTTGTAAATTTCTTATTTTTTTGTTAATCCTCGCGGGGGGAACTACGTTTAACCTGATTCCTGCCTCAACGGGATACGTAGGCGCCACAACGACTCGGTCATATCTCCCGTAAGATTTCTATCTTTCTTTACGATAGAAACTGGGACAAATTTTTTGAAAAGGACTCAAAAATTCTAAAGAAGAAGATCTCTCCAATAAAGTCGAGACTGAAGTTACTTTGAGATTTGCAACTGGGACAGAATTTTTGAGAGGATCTCAAAAATTCTGTGATTTGCTCACCAATGGTTAAAGATAAGCCGAGACAGTTAATTGAGACAAAAATTTTGAGGACGGCCTCAAAATCTCAACAGGGTTTATTGACAGTTTAGAGCAACTTTGAATACTTCCCAATAAGTAATCAGATAGACCTTGAGACATCAATTTCAAAGACGTTCACTAAGCTTGACGTGACATGACACTTGGCAGTGACCTTTTCCAAATGTTACTTTTTGAAAATCTATTTTTCTTAAAACGTTTCTTTTATGTTTCAATTATTTTGCATAAAAATATTTTGTCTTATCTATCAAGAGGCGGGAGATTGAAGAAATCAACCGGAGATAGCGATACAAGGAGAAGACAATCGAAGAGATCGACACAGATTAGTTCATTTTAAACTAATAATTTTTCTGTGGATGCAGGAAAATTTTTATGCTTCATATACCAAGAGTTGGGAATATGAATAACATTATTTCATTCAAATTCCCAGCAAAGCAAGGTTCATAGCGAACACTGCAAATATGCTCAGAGATGGATCAAACGAAAACCCCGAGGAAAGACATCTTACTATTTTCCATCAACTAAAGATACCTGAAAGTCGTTTATCTGCATTATATTATCAGATATGATAATATTCTTACCCTAAAGGTTATTTACATTGTATTGTCGAATGAGATGATATCACTACTCCGAGGGTCATTTTTATTTTATTGTCAATTGCGACGATATTGCCACCCAGAAGATACCCAGAAGATCACCTACGTTGCTCCGTGAAACATGATCTTCGTTCGGTATCGGGGATGGCATCATCAAAAGATTCATACATTGCAAGAGAAGGAAATTATGCACTGCAAGAGAAATAAGTCATGCATTGCAAGAGAAAGAAGTCATGCATTGCAAGAGAAAGAAATCATGCATAGCGAGAGAAAGATTCATGCATCGCAAGAGAAAGGAGTCAGGCATTGCAAGAGAAAGATGTCATGCATAGCAAGAGAAAGAAGTTATGCATAGCAAGAGAAAGAAGTCACTCATAGCAAGAGAAAGAAGTCATGCATTGCAAGAGAAGGAAATCATACACAACAAGAGAAATAAATCATGCATCGCAAAGAAGTCATGCATAGCAAGAGAAGAAAGTCATGAATCGCTAGAGAAAAATTCATGCATAGCAAGAGAAAGAGTCATGCATCGCAAGAGAAGGATGCATGCATAGCAAGAGAAGGAGTTGTGCATCGCAAGAGAAAGATTCATGCATCGCAGGGAAGGAAACCATGCGTCACAAGGAAATCAACACCGATTGCATCATTTTCATTTACAAGAACAATATCAAGAGAACTATCAACATATTACATCAGCCTATTTTATTACTTCGACATCAAAGAAAGAGTACATTGAAGATTATATTGCAAATATAATCGACAAACTTTATTTGCTTTACGTCAAACTGGAGGAAGCTGACGTTAAGTGTCCAAGGAGAATAATTAAGTGTCAATGCGGTAAAAGACACCATCTCCCATTTGAATTGCATTTTATGCTAATGAGTTTTATCTCAGTCTTATCCGAGAGCATCCCAAGAGGATGAATTCTCAAACAAACCACAGGTGCGGACGACATAAAAAAGGATGCAGCACAACGTGGAATTTTTTCTTAGCAGCGAACTGGAACATAGTCCAAAGAGGAGTGCAAAACTCTTAGGGCGCGAGCTGAGAAGCGATTTCCACCACAATAAAACAACACCCCTATCAGAAGGCATGCAGGTTTTTCTTAGATTTATCAGTTCCAGTTTCGCATCCGAAAATTTTTGGGTTAACCGGAAACAACTTTCCAATCTAAGTGGCAATGCTCCAAGAGCTTTGAAAATTATGTCCATGTAAGTTCTTAATTATGGGTGTGAAGCGTGCCACATTCATGGCTAAGAGTTTGCAAGCCTTCTTTTCATACTCGACTTACTTTATCGCTTTTCCAGAACCAAAAGGTTATCTTACATAATAGATTTCCTTTTCAACCAATCGAGTCGAACTACAAGCGGCCTGATTCCTTGAGTTGAGGGATATATATGTAGGCAGAATCGATGTTGAAACTCAGTTGTATTCCAAAATTCGCTCTTAAATCTTATGCTTTAGCATTTCGTTCCTTTCATAATCCAGTATCGGGATGGCTTTTGAATTCTTTCAAAATTGTGCATCAAATCAGGCGTATCGAACTACAAGTGAACTGAATTATCATATAGCCTGAGATATGTAGGTTACCCAGTTCTGGGGTTCGGCCATAATACCTAAAGTCCGTACCAAATCCCTTTTCTAAAAGATGAAGATGTGGTCGATCAAAATTGGATTGGTCAATTTCATTTTCTTCGAAGTTCTTGCATCCATCCAAGTAAAATGAGGGACAGCTGTTGACACCCAATTTTGGACCTCCACAATATATATTAATCATCGAGCTTTTTAAAATTCCAATCGATTTGAAATAATTGACTTTATAAAGTTCAAGATATTCTTCAAGTTATTTTAAATAGTTTTGTCACTTTCCACCTATTTTCCCAGGCCCAATTTTTCCCCACAATACCAAAGAAACCCATTCCAAAACATTACCCATCAGCAAACCCATTTTTCCTAGACAATACATACAGCCCACCAACGATACCAAACAACATGCCCGACCCCGACCCCTATACAGTGTATTCTTCTCCAATGTTAACTCCAGCAGGTCACAAACGACGCGAACAACGGCTCCAAACGACATCAATTTTCCATCAAAGTTCACAGAAATTACACGGCGTGAGCAAGCCAGTGCAGTACACTACAATTCATTGTCGTCTTCTTCTTTTTCCTTCTCTAGCCGTACGATCTCAGCAAAAAAAAGCAAACCGCGTCTCGTCCTTGGGCTGTGAGATCATGCCACGAAGCACGCCAAAGACAATCGATCGATCTGAGGCATCCAGTTCTCCTTCCCTCATTTGGAATGGTCTGAAGTTTCAGAAAAAGGTTGCCTCCCCTTAATGGTGAAACAATTTCTAGTTTGAATTTTGGAAATGGGTGTCATCCTATCCGTATTCTCACCTTTCCGCACAAAAGTTTGTAACCCTATTTTTTTCCTATAAATACTCTCTTCCTTTTCTTTGTAAAAGGTTGGAGAATATCATAAAGATATAGGAGGGAAATGCATAATATAACATTGATATATAGAAATTCATTAGAAGGTTCTTTTTGTGGTTTCTTAGTGATCAGCGTAGAAGTTTTCCGAGTCCAAATTTCCATCTCAGGTTCCCTGTGCTCTGTTTGGAATCTCTCGAAGTTGGTGGAAGTTGCTCTCAAGCTCGTCACTGTCTCCATTTTGCTACACCGGAAAAGGTAACATTTCTTCTTTTGAGACGTTCTCCTCGTCTTCCCCTCCATCTCGATGCGCTATTTTATAATGCTATAAAAAATCCTTATTCTTTGTTTTTCGTTGTTAGTTGTTGTTGGACTGGTGATTGTTTTAATATGACACTTGCATTCTTAGTCGATTTAAGGAATAGTGTAGAGTTAAAATTTTGGAGATTCGTTGGGTTTCTTTGCTGAAGTTGTGCGTGTTATTTTGTTGTTGTCAACCATCATTAAGTTGTTTATTCAGGTTAATGCAGTGCTTGTTTGGCATGAGTTTTCTCTGTTTAAAATTAGCCTATATCTTACCAAGTTTTGCTTGTATGTCATTTTGGTCTTAACCTTGAAGCATGCTAAAAAAATGATTTTAATGCATATATCTAAGTTGTTTCGATATAATGATCTTGGTTGTTTCACCATTTCCTTTATATTCGTCTTCTCACTGCCTAGAGCAAATTTTTGGCTTATCTCAGCCCCATTTGGCTTAATCGTTGATGTTTAAATGGGTTACCACCTGTGAGTTGATTCAGTCTGGGTTTCAAATCTCTTTCTTTATTTGAAAAGATTTTAGTCTCGTTAGAAGTGAGTTTAAGGTCATTTTCCTATTCTTCTTGGTCATATTCCTTGCCTTGTTTCTTTAAATTAAGTAGGTGGTTTTAATTTTGGTTAGCTTTCTAGGCAGAATTCTCCAGTATGTGCCTTTGTTGCAATCATGCTTTAATTACATCCAAGTATGGGTTTATTCTCTGTACTGATCTTGTTAATGTTAAAATGGGTTATTTTCTTTTCGTAGCAGCATATGAGATTTGCATGTCTTGTGTTACCTTTTAGTTTGATTTTGCTCATGGTGAGGATTAATAACATATATTATTTTGGGAAGATATTACCTCCAAATTGGATTATTTGTTTTATCTGCTAGTGGATTTTTGTTTCCTTTAGGTCTTGCTTGTCTTTAAATATTAAAGTTTTATCAAATAATAGTCTTCTAGTAACCCATTTATGGTTAGGAAAAGTTTAGTCAATTGATTTTGGATTTAATAGCTTGGTTTTTTATTTTAAATACGTGCAATAAGGTATTAATTTTGGCGGGTCCATTGCTATGCCATCAGTGGGGTATGTTGCTTTATTGAGTTTTATCACTGAGTTTCTTTGTTATGAATGTGTATTAATCCTTTTCTTTTCTTCCTATCTCATGTGATTCCGAGTGAGTTCATTGAATTCCACTGCCTTCCTCTCAATTCGTTCCAAATGGGCCATGGAGGCCCAATTGCATTTCCTCGAGTTATATTTAAACCCAATCCCCAATGTACTGCGGTGTACAAGTTCAGGAAAGTTGTTACATAGGAATGATGCAGAAATATGGACCCAAAATAGGGTCCGTATACGGGGGTATACGTAAAACGTATACACAATTTTTCTGAAAGAGATAGGCCCAAAAGCCTTGAACAATTTCAATAGGTCAAAAGGAGCTAATGGGCCGGCCCATGATTGTTGGCAACGTTGTAGACTTAGAACAAGTGGGCCAAAAGGCCAATTTAATTGGGTTTGGGCCAAAAGTCTGAGTCTAAATATTTCTTTTCTCTCTATTATTATTTATATTGTATTGTTTGACAAACTTTGTTTATTTTATGGTTTAATTTAATTAAATTCCCAAAGATAGCCATTTCACTTTTTTTTATATATTCAAATTTAAATATTTATATTTTTATATTTATCTTTATTTTTATTATTCGTCTTGTCACTTAATTTATTTCCCTTTAGAAAAATTCTCATTTAGTTCATTTCCCCTTAAGATAATTAAAATAATAATAATAAATAAATAAAAAATAATAAGAAGAAATGAGTTTTCTTACTTAGTTAATATTTTCTCAAAATTAGTCAGAGTCATGTTAGTCAAATCGCCGGTCAACTGCAAGCTAGCGGACATTTCGAGGGCCTAACACCTTTCGGAATGTAAATTTGAACTCGAACCATTTTTCAATTGATTTTATTTGTTTAAGTCTTTTGAAAACCTTAAGTTTTTTCTTGATTTTTACTAAAAAAAATAAGTGGTGACTCTGTTTCTTTTGGAAATTCGATTTCTCTTAAATCATAAGTTTAATCGATTTTCGAAAACGTAGTCATTTTTATTTTATATTTTTTTGAGTAAAACAACGACCACTGCAATAGCTTGGATTTCTTTCCCATCATTGCCACCGAACTTTTTTGGTAAGGAGACAATATTTTCTATGGCAGCAGTAGTCGAAAGACCCCTACAAGTAGACCTGGCAACTCAGAATAAAACTAGGCCTAGTTGTGCAAGAGTAAAAGTGGAGGTGGATATTTTGGGAGAATTCCCAAAAAGAATTAATATTGGAATGAGAAAAAAGTCAGGAGAAATTATGGAGAAATGGGTGACTATTAAATATGATTATGTTCCAAAATACTGCAAAACATGTAAGCTCCAGGGACACAATGAGCATGACTCTTATGTAATTCACCCTGAACTTTTCCCACAAGAGGAAAATAAAGAGGAGAAAGAACAGAAACCGAAGAATAAAGAGGACAAGAGGGATAATGGTGATATAGCAGATGGGAAAGGTGCAAAGGGCAAAAAACAAGAACAAGATGACAGAGAGTATGAGGAAAAGGAAAGAGTGACAAAATATAGAGTTCATAAAGAACAATGGAGGAGGTATGGTTACAGAAGGCGGTATAATAGTCAAAAAAGGAAAATAAGACAAATATGGAGTGAAAAAGCACAACTAGATGAAGCAGAGGTGACCACAAAAAATAAATTTGGGGCATTAGAAGGGACATATGATAAGCTATACACACACAGAGAAGGCAGAGAAGGGTAATGAAAGTCAACCATCACATCAGAAATCAGCAACACAACATGAATCAAAGAGAAAAGAAAGTGAGACATGGTCCTATAATTTGCACCTTAAAGAGGACAAGATAGATTCGGAGCAAAGTGATGGTTCATAAAACTCTAATGGAAAACACACAGGCACCATTGGTACACAATTAGAGGTAAGAAAGGTAGTGTCAGACAGGGAAAAAGAAGGGGGGAGGACAACAACAAAAGAAGTGGAGAAAAAGGATGATTTACCAAGGAAAGAAGCAACAAGTTTTCTAACTTAATAAATTGATAAGAAAAAGTCGCAAGAGATACAAGAAAAGTTAAACACAGAAGAAGAAGAAAGCATGGATGCTAACATACATCACATCAGCAGAGAAGGAGATCATTCTCCAAGACAAATAGGACACTTAAAACGACAATATGGGTCTGACAAAATCAATAATCCAGACATATTATGTCAATACAAAGAGTAGAAGGAGCAGACCCTCACTTATTGATCAACGATTAGTAAAATTCTATTTTGGAATATTAGGTCAGTAAAATCTCAAATTATTTTGAGAGGTTACTGGATCTAAATAGAAAACATCACTATTCATACATTCCTCTCTTAGAGCCTTTTCAAAATCCTTCAAAAATAGATAGATACAGGAGAAGACTTGGAAAGCAGCATGCCAGAGTAAACTGTTCCTCAAAAATTTGGTTGTTTTGGGATAAAGAGTGGGAGGAGCAAGAGTGCTTTGACTCATTACAACAGATTACTGTCTCTTCCAAACACAGAGACAACAATGCTCATGTCAAAATTACAGTAGTCTATGCTAGATGTAGTGCCATAGAGAGATTGGAACTGTTGGAAGACCTTGAGGAGATTGCTTGCCATACAAATTGTTCTTGGATGGTAAGGGGAGATTTGAATACCATTACTGATGAATCAAAAAAGTTGGTAGGATTACCTGTATCACAAGCAGAAGTTGAGGATTTTGTCCAATGCATAAATTCTTGTGCCTTAAATGAGATAAAATTCTCTGGAAGTTGTTGCACCTGGTGGAATGGCAGAATAGAGCAAGACTGTATATTTAAAAGATTGGATAGAGTATTTGGGAATAATGATTTTATGAATGAATTGCAGATTACAGAAGTACAATACCTGATAAGGGAGGGTTCAAATCATGCTCCACTTCATGTTACTTGCAGTTACAGTCTAGGAACAGATTATAAAGCCTTTTAGATTTCTCAATTTCTGGACAAAACGCCATAGTTTTCAAAAGACAATGGAGGACATATGGAAGATTGAAGCAATAGGGTCACCATTCACAGTGGTACAAACCAAATTGAAAAAGCTGAAAGTAGCTTTGGTACAATAGAGTAGGACAACTCATGGTAATATTTTTTAAAAAGTGGCAACTCTAGAGGATATAGTAAGGACCAAAGAAATTCAGGTAGAGATCAATGCATCAGAAGAAAATAGAACAACATTGAAGAAAGCTGAGGCAGACTTAAAAAATTACTTGCACATTGAGGAAGAATATTGGAAACAAAAAGCAGGAATGAGATGTTTTCAAGATGGTGATAAGAACACAAAGTTTTTCCATGCATATGTCAATGGAAGAAGGAAAAAGATACCGCTATATAAGACAAGGACCAAGCAAGGAGATACAATAACCACCACACATAATATTAGGGAAGAGGTAGTGAATGTTTTCAAGGAACAATTTATGGAGACTAATCAGCCTACAGATTTCTCAATGCTAGACAATATCCTTAAATTGATATCAGAAGAGCATAATGAAGCTATGGGATTACTACCAACTGAAGAGGATATTAAAGAAGTGGGTTTTACCTTAAATGGGGATAGTGCAAGTGGTCCAAATGGCTTCTCCAGACAATTATTTCAAGTTTGTTGGGATACTGTGAAGATGGAGATAGTCAACATGGTTAGATCATTTTTCTGTGGGCAGGAGTTTCCTAGGTTCTTAACTCACATTAATTTAGTCCTTATTCCTAAAAAGGAGGTGGTAGCTTTAGTGATCTGAGACCCATCAGCCTAAGCACTTTTACAAACAAGATCATATCAAGAATGTTGCATGAAAGATTAGTGAAAGTGCTTCTTAATATTATCTCATAGAATCAATCAGGTTTTGTGAAAGGGAGAAGTATCACAGAGAATGTCCTTCTAGCTCAGGAGATCATAAGGGATATAAATAGAAGAAACAAGTTACATAATGTGGTGGTGAAATTGGACATGGCCAAAGCATATGATAGAGTGTCAAGGATCTTTCTCACAAAGGTGCTCAGGGGTTTTGGAAGATTCTCAGAAAGGATTATTGACATGGTGGTAAAGGTTGATATCAAACAACTGGTACTCAGTAATTATGAATGGGCAGACTTTTTTTTTTTTTTCAATCCTCAAGAGGATTGAAACAAGGGGATCCACTTTCTCCTACATTGTTTATAATAGCAGCAGAAGTCTTGGCAAGAACCCTTAATCAGTTATTCAAGGATCAGAAGTATAAGGGCTTTGGACTACCAAAAAGGAGCCCTGAGATTAATCACTTGAGTTATGCTGATGATAGTATATTGTTCAGTTTAGGACATTCATATTTAATGAAGAAATTGATGAATGTGTTAAGAGAATATGAAGAGGTGTCAGGACAAATGATAAATTTAGACAAGAGCTTTGTCTACTTGCATGAAAAGTACCTCCAGAAGTATACAACAGAATAAAAAGAATAACTGGAATTAAGCAAGGATCCTTTCCTTTCACTTATCTAGGATGCCCTATTTTCAATGGAAGAAAGAATAGAACTCACTTTGAAAGTTTGATTAAGAAGGTGGTGAAGTGGATAAGTTCCTGGCAGAACAGGTTACTCTCCTTTGAAGGAAGATATGTCCTAATAGCCAATGTACTACAGTCATTGCCAATTTATGTACTTTCTGCCGTGAACCCTCCAACTTGTGTCATTACCCAATTACATATAATCTTTGCTAAGTTCTTTTGGGCTAACACTGTTGGGGAAAAGAACAAGCATTATGTGGCTCCCTGTTTGCCAAACTTTGGTGTAAGTTCAGAACCTCAACAAATTTTATGTGGGCATCTTTTATGTGGAACAAATACTGCAAGAAACACTATCCTATTATTGCTCAGGGGTATGGGACATCTCATGTTTGGAGGAGAATGACATCAATAAGGGAGGAAGTTGAACATGAAGTATGGTGGCGAATTAAAGCAGGTAATTCTAGTTTCTGGTTTGACAACTGGACTAAACAAGCGGCCTTATACCATATAGAGGAAAACGCAAAGGAAGAGGAGCTGGAAGTTAAGGACTTCAGCATAGAAAAGGGGTGGGATATGGAGAAGTTGTTACAGAACTTGTCTCTTGAAATGACTGAGCATATTATGGAGAACATATCACCTCCAAACACTTTGTTGGGAAATGATGTGGCTTGGTGGATGGCAAATGTACAAGGAAGATTCACTATAAAATCAGCTTGGCAATTAATGAGAAACAAACAAGAACATAAAAGAGACTTTGAGCTAATATGTAATAAGGGGCTGCCTTTTAAGATTAATTTTCTTTCCTGTGGAGAGTCTGGAGAAGAAGGATAGCCACAGATGATAATCTTAAGAAGATGAGAATCAATATAGTTTCCAGATGTTGGTGTTTTGACAAGAAAGAGGAGGAAACAATGACTCACTTAATTCTAACCGCCCCATAGCCTAAAAGTTATGGAGGTATTTTGCTCATTTGGCAGGAATCAACATTGAAGGAATGCATTTACAACAACTCATAATTTCTTGGTGGAAACTGGAAGCAACACCAAAATTACAGAGAAATACCTGCCATCATTATGTGGAACTTATGGAAGAGGAGGAATGCCCTCAAACATGGGAGTGGGATTAGCTGGGAGGGTCTGGTGGAAATGACAGTTGATGTGGTAAGGCAGATGGTGACGACTCAATTTCCATGGATAAGGAAAATGAGATGGTTATGGAAAGAGATAATTCAAAGGCTCAGTCATTACAAGCCAAAGATACACTACTTCAAGGTCACATGGAAACCTCCAGAAGAACAATATGTAAAGTGTAACACTGATGGACCAACCAGAGGTAATACTGGTTGTAGTTCTTTTGGATTTTGTATTAGAGATAATAATGGGGATCTAATATAAGCCAAAGCTAAAGGTATTGGCATTGGAACAAATATAGAAGCAGAAATTGTTGCTATTCTAACAGCTCTTACAGAGTGTTCTAGCAGAAGAATACATAATATAATTATTAAGACTGATTCACTCAGTCTCAAGAAAATCATTTAGAGGACTTGGAGGATTCCATGGGAAATAGCAGAAAAAGTGGAAGAAATAAGAGAGTTTATGGAGAGGATTGGAGCAACAATTATACATATTTTTATAGAGGGTAATAGTTTGGCAGAGTCTTTAGCTAATATAGTTATAGAAACACAAACATAACATCAATATGGTTGTTTCCATGAGCTGCCACTGAAAGAAAGAAGGATTCTAAACGCAGACAAATCACAAATTCCTACCCTCAGAATCAGGACACGCACAATCATTCAACAATGAGTTTAGTTCAGGCCAGAAATCACACAAGATTAACAACAATTAAGACGCAACATACACAAGGAAAATTACAAGGAAAGGAACATCACATCTTCATAATAATTCTGGAAAGTAACAACAGGATCATCAAATATGAGTTGATCAGTAGGAGAAAGCATAACATAGCAGATAGTTGGTCTTGTCACAAAGACACAGCTGAGTACACAAAGATAACTACCATCGAAAGTATAAAAGATAACGACAAATCTAAGGGGGGCAAGGGGCTATGCAGATAAAAAAGAAGTAAACTCGGCTATGAGCTTCAATCACAGACGAGCTTGTTTTTTAATTGATAAGCAAATCTTTCCTTTAGCTCCGTGGAGATGGATTTAACCGACAACATGGAAAAAAGAGGACAAAATTAGAGAGTAAAGGAATCAAGAAAAGAATTAATATGGGAGAGAGCACTGACATTGCAGATAGAGCTTCAAAATGGCGAAATCACATCTGGATTTCAAAGAGAATTTTCAAGGCAGGAAGAAAGCTTTCTTTTTTGATAAGATTACTTTCCAAAAGTGACATCTACCCTATCTCAAAGGGACATGAAATTAGTTGGGTCGGGTCTTTTGGACCCTACCAATGTTTTTTTTTCTTTTTCATTTGGGCCATAGGTCTTGTACAAGATTATGCTTCCACTTTATTAAATAAAAGTCTGAGTAAGCCACCAAAAATTCATTAAAAAAAATGGAATCGTGAGCTCATGGGTAATCCAATTAAATAATTTTCTATGTGGTTTTGATATTTGATACTCCATCCGTTTTAAAAATAATGACCTCCTTTTCTTTTTAGTCTGTTTCAAAAAGAATGACCTCTTTATTTTTTTCGTAACATGTTAATTTCATCTTTCCACGTGGCATGTTTAAGGCCACAAGATTAAAGGACAATTTTGTACATTTGACATAACTTTAATTTAGGACCACAAGATTCAAAAGTCTTTTTTATTTTCTTAAACTCTGTGTCAAGTTAAACTAGGTCATTCTTTGTGAAACGGAGGGAGTACTTTGTTTAATAGAAAACACATTTGTTGATTATTGAGACAAATTGATCTATAATATACTTTGGCATAATCCATCATTAGCAAAGAGGGTACTCGACGATCGTTGGTGAAGTGTTTGAGATTTTATAGCAATGGAAATTAATTAAAGAGAGCAATGACTAAATTGAATAACAATGACGGAGAGGTATAAATAATAATATATAAACTAGAGAAAATTTTCCTTGTTGGAGTGTTTTTTATGAATAACTTAACTTTTTTTGGCAAAAAAAGGGGTCTGAAAGGGGACATTTTGGAGGAAAAATTAACTTTTTATTCTAAATTGAATAATCAAAACTTTGGAGATGGAAAAACTACTCATCATTTTTAAGACTTTGTGGATGAAATATAAGTTTTGTAGGGATTTCTTGTATTATCTAAAACTTGGGTTCAAGGTTTGACAATTTTTTAACTTCAAATGATAACATCATAAATGCGGTCTCTTTCACCAATAAATTAAGACTTGGAACTAGTTTATAAATTGAGTTTTGAAAGTGGTTTTTAGCAAAGTTTGTATAATCATTAAGAAACCCTAGAGTCTAATTTCCATTACAACCGAACACTACTGACATAAAAAGGCCAAGAGTCTTTTCAAAATTTAAAAGTTGCCTATTGATCTTATATGCATTTTCACTTCCTACACTCTCAAATCTTTGCTTAAACTCTAATATGTGTTCGTGTGTGTAGATTTTCTTGCTGAGAGTGAGTGAGTGGTTGTGATTCTCGATCCCAAACCCTACCTCCCTCGTTGTTGTTGTTGTTTGTACGTGTCTAAGGTTGGTTCTCAAGATTATATTTGGTTCCCTTGTTTAATATTGATGCATTTTGACTAGGTTAAGTATTGTTGTTGATTTTGTCCTACTAGAATCATGTGGGTTGTAATAATTTAGTCGATTGAATAATACCCATGATTAGGATAGTTGATTTTTTGTCTAAACTTCTTGAAATTGATAGTGAAGGTTAGAAGTTGAAATTGGGTTACTAAATTGAATGGGTTTTTATTGAATTTGGATTGGGTGAAGTATGATTAACCCATCGTTGTCCTTTTGACTTGTATTTGCCCAATGATGAATAGGGTGACGTATTTCTTAAGGGGAAATCATCAATTTTGTCACTCCCTGAGCCTACACCTTGGGTGGGACTAGCACTCGAGAACCGTTGTTGGCCCAAGCAAACCCTTGGCCTGGCTAGACTCTCAGCGGAAGACTTACTCAATAGAAAAATGTACTTAAATACAATCTTAAAGAAACTGTCTGAATAGATAAACTGAGAATGTTTAGAAAATAACATTCAACTTAGCCAAAATGGAAACTCAAGTCTTTAAAATCAAACAACTGAAATATTAAAACTAAAGAACTCATATCTAACTGTCTATGAAGCCTCTAGATACTAAGAGGGATTTTCGGGACAAGACCCTTGATCATCCTAACAACTGAAATAGCCAAAAGCAATAAAATAGAACATAACCAAAGGGATCCTCCGGAAAGTAAGAAGGCTCACTAACTGACTCTGAGTGCTCAAATGGATAACGAGGTGCTCGATGGTGATTCTGATTTCCTGTATCTGCATCATAAAATGATGTAGGCCAAATGACATTAGTACATTGAATGTATGAGCATGCGAGGGGAAAACTAAACACAATATAAGCTTGAAATGAATCTGAAAAGAACACTTACCTTAGCTTTACTCAACTCATGGATACTTAACTCAAATGCAAAATAAAACAACAATAAAGGTGCAGTTTATATAAAGCATTTAAATAGTAATAGCAACTTAATTTACTCATATAATAAAGTAATATAATTCTATGGGAGTTTCTCTAACCGACAACCATCATTATAAGCTAATGTAATGATACAATGTCTCGCCCACGTTGCCAGAACTGTCCTATAACTTGTTAGGATATAGAATGCCTCAACTAAGTGGATCCACTAGTCTATGCTAAAAAACATTAAGGTGTCATCTTAAAAGTATAACCCTTTTTACCCATGATGGCTACATGGTTAATGAAGACTTGAGTTATTATGAACTCATCCTCATATCGGTTCTCAATACTACTCCCAAAATATACTCAGCTCATATGTTTTAAAAACAAAACTCTTTCTGTGATTTGAGGTAATTACTCAAAACTAGCTTAAAAGCTCTCTCGAAAATTGATGTTTCCTCTCTTATTTAAATGTGAAAACATTTTAACTCTTGGGAATACGTAGTTCCCGTATAATCTTTTGAATAAAATGAACTTTACTCTTACTCGTTACTCAACTCAAAACCCAAGCCTTAAAACAAAGTTAAAACATTTGTAAAAGACTTTTAGAAAACTCTATGGACTTTTCTTGACTTAACTCTTAACTAAACTTGAATTGAATTATAGATTCAAGGTTCATGATCTCATGTTTATGGATAATTTCATGATGTTTAGACGTACCTTAGAGTGTATAAATCGATTAGAAAACTTAGGTAGTGGCAAGGGAACTCAAACGGAAAGAAATGGGAAAAGGTAGAAGGCCTGGCGACCCTAGCGCTCTGAGTGGCAAGGGGTGCTAGCCTTGAAACTTCAGACACTGGCTTGGGGCACATTGGCTGGCAAAGCACCCCAGAGGCCAAACTTCAAAACCCAAAGTGGGGCGCTCTGGCTGGCTCGACGTCCCAGACCCCTGACCAGAAAATCCTAATTTTACTTGCACGTTTTTCAACTCTAAACCCTCTAGATTCGATTGTTTCTTCCCTAAACACTTAGATTTGAATACCCAACCAAAGTATACAAGAATCCACTCAAAAACAACCTTAAATCTAATCAAATCACCTCAAGAACTCCTCCAAAACTCAACAATCAAGATTCAAACGAAACTTCAACAAAATTCATCAAGAACTCATAAACTTTTCTTTCAAGATGCAAATACGCTGAATTTAATCATGTTTGGCGTGTGGGTGAACGAACCCAATGCTATGTGATCTCACATACCTCGTAGGGATCAACCCTTGGGGAAATTCACAAGCTTAGTGATGAGTCTGAAATTTGGACTTATTTGGGGTTTTATTTATATAGATTTAGTGTCCTCAAATACCTAATTTGTGCCATAAACTGATGTTAAGGCCTTCATTTTCAGGTATATGGATTGAGGAACAAAGCAAGGACACTAACAGGCAAAAAGGAACAAAGCAAATTAAAGAAGTGAAGAAAGGCGAGCCTGATGATCGCCAAGAGAACTTGGCGAATCGCCGAGTGGCTATTTCGACCGCCTAAAGTTCCAGTGTGCCAGCCCTAAAGGAAGAAACCAAGTTGGTGATAGAAAATGGGTAGTCGGTGAGTCACCGAGCAGTTCCGCGATGCAAAGAGTGATTGCCCAAAGTTACAAAACTTGATGATGCCGAAAGCTAAGGAAAAAAGGCGATGAAAGAGAGCAAAAGGCGGTTTGCAAAACCACTCGGCGAACCCGACTAACCTCGCCTAATGGCCCTTCGTGGCTTATTTTTGGCAACTATAAATTAGATTTTGAATAACTAATTTTATATGCTGAGTTAGTTTAGAACAGTTCTCTTTGGAGTAGACCTCCTCAGCAGCAGAATTGACTTTTATCCGGTTGGCTTGCCCCTTTCCTCCGGAGTTGCCAGAGTTGGGAGGTTTGTTACCTTTTGTTGTATATATCTTTATGGGTAGGCTGGGGACCTGTCCCGCTAATCTTTACTACTCTTAGAGGCTTGCAGACTAATGTGTGGGGTGTATAGCTACGTTATGGCCACACTGGCCTATGTTGTTGCTTTCCTGAAGCCTGTAAGATGTTTGATGTATTGTATTGATATATACCTGCTTTTAGTTTTGGTATAGATATCATGGTGGCCTCGACAGCCCAATCAGGACTTCTGTGCTAGTTGGTTATTTATTTATATGATCTCCTGGGAGTAGCTGTTTCTTTTATAGATCAGTTGACAAGGGACTTGCCGGCCGAGGGCTTAGTTTTAAGCCGAGATATACTTGTTTGTTTTCTTCATTGTGTGTGGCTGCCATGCGCTAGTAGCAAATGGTTCAGTAGGGTCGGCTCCACTTACCTCTTATAGAGTTCGCATACAATAATAGTTATCATTCCAACATTGGGATGACACCTTATGAGGCTTTGTATGGGAAAAAATGTAGATCCCCTATTGGATGGTTCGAGGTAGGAGAGTCAGGGTTGATTGGACCCGACTTAGTACAACAGAAAGTGGAGAAGGTCAAGCTCATACGAGAGAGGTTTCTAACAGCTCAAAGCCGACAGAATTCATACTCAGATGTGCGACGAAGGGACTTAGAGTTTTGCGTCGATGACTGGGTATTCTTAAAA